GACTGGGCTATCTCTGTAGATAATCAAGTCCCTAAGAAGGAAGACAGAGTAGAAATGGAGAATGTGAAAGTGAAGCAATAATAACACCGTCTATCAATGAGTAAATGACCAGAAAATCTATAGAAGCAGAACAAGAAAACAGCACACTTCCTTCAGTAGAACCATGTTAGAGTTGCTTGTTTTTGTATTTCTCTTGTTTTATTTTCCTAACAAGAGAAAGGAGGAGAAATTGAAGAATGATCTGGAAATGTAGGGAGGCTATTGATCACAACTGGAGGTTCCGTTTTCACTCATTGTCATATAACTTAGTTGTTATTCAGGAAATAGGCTGCAAGACACTGGCAGGTGAAAATTGTGGAGGTGGAAATGTTCTGAAGTTATTGGTGTAGCCTGGATCATCACTTTTAGCTGGCAAAAAGATGGCCATTTCTATAGGAACATTAGCACATGAGTGACCTGACCATTGTAAGTCTCTTTCTTACAGTCCTCTACATCCAGCCCAGGTGATATGTTGATCAATCTGTTTTACCATACCAGGCAAAACAAGTACTGAATTTCAGCCAATGATCACAGATCTCATATTGTCTCATCCTTGCTGGTACTATTCTTTTTTCCTTGGCTCAATTGTTGCCTTTTAAAACTCTTCACTTAAAGCAGCCCCTAGGCTTTTCCTTGGGTACAATGCAGAAAAGGAAAACAATGATAGAAGTGGGTGCTTGTTATTTCGAGTACAGCTGGACAGGTGGGATGGGTGAGGGCAAAACTCCAAGGATGTCAAGAGTAGAAATGGTGAGTCTGCCTTTGAAGCTACACAACTCCCTGTACAACCAAGTTAGAGGAGCTTTGAAAGCAATGCTGGTTAAAAAAAAAAAAGTAACATAATATCGACTTAGTTAAGGCAAGATTCTCTGTGGGGAAGTAAAGGCCTTCAGCCTCTATTTGGCCCTGAGGCTCATGGAGAGAGACCTTTGCTGATGCTTCGGTTGGGCTCAGAAAGACTCCTGCCCTCTCCCAGAGATTGGCCAGCAGTCAATCTCTCTTATTGTGTGTTTTCTTGCCATCTCTTCCCCTTTTTATCTGCTCTACTCTGTTGTGCACATGGTCTCTTCCACTATGCAATTCCCCGCAGTGTTTTAAATGTGGAAATAAACAAAAGAAGTAACATGATCAAGAACTTACTGGTTTCTCAACCAAGTGTGGTGGCTCACACCCGTAAACCCAACACTTTGGGAAGCTAAGACAGGAGACTTGCTTGAGACCAGGAATTTTAGAGACCAGCTTAGGCAACATAAGAGAACCCCCCTCTACAAAAAAAAACAAAACAAAACAAAAAAATTTAAATTAGCTGAGTATAATGATGTACACGTGTAGTTTCAGCTACTCAGGAGGCTGAGGCTGGAGGATCCCTTGAGTCTAGGAGGTCAAGACTATAGCTAGCCACTGCATTCCAGCCTGGACAATAGAATAAGACCCAGTCTCAAAAATATAAATAAATAAAATAAGAATTCACTGGTTTCCAATGTCACAACTCCTTTATCTCAGAGTAGATATACACATAGAATTGGAGGCTAGCTTTTTTTTTTTTTTTTTAATTACAATGTCTTAGCTCTTGTGTACTGAGTTTACTGGTGTGGTTATGTCACTGTGGATAATGATTTTTTTTTTTTTTGTTACACAATGTTTATCAACTTTGACTATGCTTCCTGTCCTGAGCATGCTCCCCGTTTTGTAAAACAACTGGGGAACACTGAGATTTTTCACGTAATTCCTGTGATGCCAGGCTTCTAAGAGATAAAGAAATACAAAGAACAGTGAGTGGACAGATTGAGTGGGGCTTTGAAAGCAATGCAGAGTAAAAAGATAATAAATATATACTATAAAGACACATGCAAATATATGTTTATTGCAGTACTATTTGCAATTGCAAAGACTTGGAACCAATCCAAATGCCCGTCAATGATAGACTGGAATAAGACAATGTGTCACATATACAACATGGCATACTATTCACCCACAAGAAAGGATGAGTTCACGTCCCTTACAAGGACACGGATGAAGCTAGAAACCATCATGTCAGTAAGCTAACACAGGAACAGAAAACCAAACACCACGTGTTCTCACTCGTAAGTGAGAGTTGAACAGTGAGAACAAATGGACACAGGGAGGTGATCATCACACACTGGGGCCTGTCAGGGGTTGAGGGCAAGGGAAGGGAGAGCATTAGGACAAATACCTAATGCATGCGGGGTTTAAATCCTGGAGGTCAGGTCAGTGGGTACAGCAAACCACCGTGGCACATGTATACCTGTGTGACAAACCTGCATGTTCTGCACATGTATCCCAGAGCTTAAAGTAAAAATTTTTAAAAAAGAAAGATAATAGAATATTAGCCTGGTTAAGTCAAGATTTGTATTTTTTTAACATATATTCCCAATTAAAGATCACACATGTACTTATTAATGTTATTAACTCTGTCATGTATTAAGATGAACAAAAAGGCATTTCTATTATATGAGTTTTTCTTATTCTTTACTTGTATCTTTCAAAAAGAAAAAGAAAAACAAATACATACTCAGCTCTCCCCAAAATAACCAAAACAAAAACAATCAATGCAATAATACTTCTCAAAAGATATGCTTGCCTCACTATCAGAAGGTCTGCCAACTTCCGTCTATGCACTAGAAGTGCGTTTAAAACTTTTTGTCTGTACGTCTTGTCTTTAATGTTGTTATGACTTCAATCCACTTCATTGGCATTACCTGCAAGCAACATTCCATCTTCACATTTGGATGAGTGCGAACTTATCAAGGTGCTGTATCTGCGATTTTCAGTCGAAATTTTACTTTAGTGGAAATTTTGCTTAAAACTGGGTGCCGATTAGCAGTGACTCCCCTCCTTAACAAAAGAACACGGTTTGCTGCCTGCCCAGCCACACAGCCCCTTGGGGGGCTTCCTAGCGTGGGATGGGCTGCTGCAGTATCATCACACCTTATTAGTTGCAGCACAGAGGTATAGAGATAGGAGGAACATACTTGCTCTGCAGTTTTCCTGACACCACACCCAGGGTAGGTTAGCACTCATGGAAAATCAGTTTAAGATGAGAAACATTTCAAACATCTTTCCTTATTTTCTTTCCTACACGCAAATAGAATAATGCATTTTAAGTAACAAAGAACCCTTAAACAGCAAAACAAACCCAAAAAGATGCTTCTCCTTAAAAGCCACTATCTACTTAGGATATTCTTCTTGTATTACGTAAAAATACAAAGAGTAAAGTGTGCTTAAAATCTCTCACAAACATTGGAAATAAAATCTTCAAAAAGTGAATGCATACAATAGTACATGCCCAGGACGTAACTCATTATGGGGAAATGAAAATGATAGCACCATGATACAGGTGAATCAGGATAAGAACAAGCTAATTGCATTAGGGCAGCTTTCAGAAAACAAGAATTTATTTTTTTTTGACAAATATGCCTAAGTACAAAGTACACAAAGTATATTCTGACTGTTTCGGTGATATGCCTGCTTTATTTCAAGTGAAATAAATGAATTTTTAAAAAGTCATAAAAATATGTGTATGCTTTTAAAAAATTCTTTCAATAACCTGTTGGGTATCTGGAGTATCCATATATTGGAGGTCTTTGTTCGCATTCTACAAGGAGAATTGCCAAATCCACTCCAGAGTGCCAGGCTTAAAAAGGTGTTGAAGAGAGCCTGCCCGATTACCTGAATTCCAATTTGGCTCACAATGAAAGGTAGAAAAATTACCTCGATGCGTTTCTGTGTTGCTTCTCCCATTGCAATAGGCCTTATTTAATAGCTTATTACACTCAGAAAACAAAGCATATTCTAAGGAAAGAACTCACGGCTCCTGTCTCTTGACAGAACGGTCTCTTTGAATTCTTTTGTCGATTTCATAGATTTCTAACAAGCAGAGAATTTTTTTTTTTAATCTGATTTTTTTAATGCCAGCAGCACTATTTCCTCCTCTGTAAGTAGGACAGATTCATGCTATAAGCAACAATGGATGCTTCCCTGCTGAACTCGAGCATGGCAGATTAAGCTTCAAGCGGGCGAGTAAATGCCACCTCCCCACTTAACAAGACTGTTCAGAGCCAGGCATTTGGGGCCACGCTGTATTTGTTCCTGGAACTGCTGGCTGATGAGCCACTGCTGTCTGAGGCGGCCAAGCAGCCCTGACTGAGCGAGCTGTGTGAAGACTCGACAGAGGCCTGGCAAGGCTGAGTGGGCATGCCTCATTGCTGGCGCTTCCAGGCAAGTTCCTTGCCTCTAAATTATGCCTGCCTCAGGACAGTTGCCTTGTACAGAGCCTGGCAGAAGATAGGCACTTTGCACATGTTTACTGACTATAAAAGAGAAAAATAGGGAGAGAAAAGAATCTGAGTTTAGAGATGCCTTTCAGATCTTACCAGATAAAATGCTGTTATTTCTGGCAAAGTGGTTAGGTGACATTGACTTTGAAGAACAGCTAAGAGGTTAAAAAAGAATAGGACGAGCAATGAACAAGCTAATAAAACACATGGAAACAAAATTAGTAGTAGCCAAAATCTTTAATTGATCCATTATATTTCAAAATATCTTTTATTAGGATAATGGCACTTGCAATGTGATCTTTCTAAATGCCTTTTAGAGACCAGTGTGTTCCGTAAAGAAAAATACACCCGTATCTAGAATGACAACTTTAAGAACCATTATTTAGATTGCTGTGAGGTATCTTAAAATGCAATTCAGTTTGCTCCTCAGATATTGCGTATCAAACTATAAAAGCAGAGCTACATTGTTGGCTTTCTCTTTTTTTGGCACAGAAATAGAATCGAGAATCTGCCTGTGGATGTCAGAAACAGACTGAATCAAACAATACAAAAGCATGAATGTACTGTTCTCACATTGATGTCATTGATGGCTATTTTACTTGTTTGAATCTTAAATCTTTCACAACCACATGCGTATGTTTGTCATTTATCCCCTTTTCTCAGGTGCAAAGAAGGCTACCAAGGAGTCCGTTGTGATCAATTTCTGCCGAAAACTGATTCCATCTTATCGGATCCAAGTAGGTCAAGCATTTTTCTTCTCTCTAATGCAATATTTAGGCAGCTCTTATTCTATGCGGTGGTTGTTAACTCAGCTGAAAGCTATATTTCAGTCTTGTGACTGAAAGCTGCTGAGGGCAGAAACTGATGGCAGATGTTGGTGTTCAAAGCATGCTCAGAGCTGGCTCATTCTAAGTCTTCTCTGACAGTGAGGCCTGGCCTACCAATTCCATCTTGAACCCCTGCTGGGAACTCCCAACAACTGGGGCTTCCTTGGTTCTCCCTCTGCCCAGCCACCCAGCACCTCATTTCAAAAACAGGGATCTAGAAAGATAAAAGAACTGAAATAATGTTATGGAAACTATGGTGTTAAACTGCTTCTTATGCTTTGGTTGGTAATTCAAACCATATCTTACTAAAGTAAGAAAACGTGTATAAAACCATGTAAGAAGTTTTCAAAGAAGCTTTAAAAACTCTATTTACCTTATTTATTTATTTATTTATTTATTACAGTTTCTTTAATAAAAATAAAGAAACTTTGAACACTCCATTTTTGGCAGCACTGTTTGCAGATCAGTAATTACTGTCCTAAGGACAAATTATTTTTTTCTCCATTTATGAAAGATGACAATTTGCGGACTAAAAATATGGCTAGTCATTATTTTCTGTTTGTATATGAGTAAAAGTAACCTTTTATACTAAAATGCTCAATACTAGTCAAATGTGATGTGTTTATCTTTAAAGAATTCTGTGCTCTTTCAATAGCTGCTAGAATTGAATCATTACTCAAAAAAGGGGGTTTTTATTGAATCAGCAATTTATTTTAGTGAGGATAATAATAGGCATTTTGCAATTGTAAAGGCAAAGTTATGGCTTTCTGAATATCATACATACTGAATATATGTAACATAGACTTCAGCAAAATATTTTGTACTGACTACAGGCAGAGGTCGCCCTGCCTGTGTTTGTTCATTTTGCTGCATAATGAACATGTCTCACCATCTTCCAATATCTTTTCAAAATGCATATTTTCATTTCCCCCCCCCCCCGAATTTTTAGGTACATTTGCTTAAGTAAATGCAAAGTTATTTGAAAGAAAAACGTTTTGTTTCATTTCATTTAATTCGATTTTATCTTGACAAAGCAACCCACCATACAGCAATTACTCTTTCTGTGCAAATTTAGCTTTCCTTGAGAAAAGTGAAGGTTGCCACAGGGATATCTCTATTTCCTGAAAGGTGAGGCACGGTTCTCTAGGAATTACCCAGAAAGGATGGTGTTACTGGAGTTTTTGGTATCTTATTTATGAAGTGATTTGGTCCGATTGCGAAGATGTCATCTGAAAGGGTATTCATGGTTATGGTGTTAGATATATATTTGGCATATTAGGAATCTTGCATAAAATAATGGGCTTGCTGATTTCTTTCTCTTTCTCTGTTTCTCACTTTTCCTAATGTATCTAGTTTTCCTCTTTGTTTTTCTTTCTCTTTTCCTTTTTATCCCTTCTCTTTTCCTATTTATTTATCTTTCTTCATTATTTTGTCTCCTTTAATACTTCTTCCCTCCATCTTTCCCTCCCTCCCTCCATCCCTCCCTCCCTTCCTTTCTTCTTCCCTTCCTTCCTCTTTTCCTTCCTCTCTCTCTCCTTCCCTTCTTTCCTTCTTTGCTTTCTTTTCATATATGGCAGTGGAATAGCTATTGAGTACAGGCTACAAAAAGCAAGGCCTTGCATGTGATAACAAAGTGGGTAAAAAACTCTTTAAACAATCTAATCAAATTTTAGCATCCATTTAGATATCATAATTCATCACTGCAAGAGTGGAGGATGGCTCCACCTTAAGAACTGTTCTCTCCTCATAGAACAAAACGATCCCATGGTTACAGTCACTATCTCTGAAAACCTATTTCTATTTCTATTAAATTGCTATTAAAATTATAGCTGTGTGAGCCAGGCATGGTGGCTCATGCTTATAATCCCAGCACTTTGGGAGGCAAAGATTCTTGAGGTCAGGAGGGTTCGAGACCAGCCTGGCCAACATGGTGAAACCCCGTATCTACTAAAAATACAAAAATTAGCTGGGACAATTAGTAGTAGGTGCCTGTAGTCCCAGCTACCTCAGGAAGCTGAGACAAGAGAATTGCTTAAACCCAGGAGGCAAGGTTGCAGTGAGCTGAGGTCAAGACACTGTACTCCAGCCTGGGTGACAAAGCAAGACTATCTTAAAAAAAAAAAAAAAAAGAAAGAAAGAAAAAGAAAAAGAAAAAAGAAAAGAAAATTATAGCTCTCTGAAATGTTTCTATTAAGTGAAATTGCAAGATAGAAAATTATTTTTATATAAAATTGTAAAAGGAACATACTTTGGCCCAAATGTAGAAAAGAAATATACTAAAATGTTGAAAGGATATGGAATTTTATGAAATTGTTTTCCTGTTTCTCCAGTTTTCTGTAAAATGGCATATCATTTTTTGAGTCAAAATGCCAGAATTCCTTGAAATTTTTTAAAAAAGAATAAGCACTGAGAACCCATGGATGAGTCCCTGAGACACAGCTTAAATGGAAAAGCATTATATCTTCCATTCATCCATTCACACATGCATTTCTTTAGGTAATAGTTAATTCATTTCATCAGTATTTTCTGAGCATCCACCAAGAGCCACCTAATCGGTCAGGTTCTGTTAATTCAAAGGTGTGCAAACAGGATTTAGACTCTGAGGATCCCGCAGATTAGTGAGGGAGAAAAACATGTGGATATATAAACATGGGGATAAATTTGGTGTAACATTTACCCCTTTCTGACCTTAGCATATTTGATTTGGCTCCCAGGCCTCAGCAATGTTAACTGGGATTATAGGCGTGAGCCACCTTGCCCAGCTCACACAGTTGTAATTTTAATAACAATTTAATAGAAGTAGAAATAGGTTTTCAGGGATAGTGACTGTAACTATGGGATCATTTTGTTCTATGAGGAGAGAACAGTCATTATGGTGGAACCATCCTCGACTCTTGCAGGGATGAACTACGATATTTAAATCGATGATTTCACCTGAGCAATGGTAACAGTAATACCTGTAAGCATTATTGTTTATCTAGATCAACAGAGTCAATGCCAGGTAATGTCAGCCCACTTCGCATATTCATCACTATAATCATTACTAATATGTGTTTAAATGATACATGTGCCAGGCACTGTGCCAAAAGCTTTACATGGATCATTTTAGTAAACCCTCCCAATCACAGTGTAGTAAGGAGAGTGCTAACAATTGCCCACATTTTATAGAGGAGGAAATTAGACCTCAGGGATGCTAAGTAAAGTTGCTCAAGGTCATACAGCTAGTTAATGCTAGAGTTTAACTTCCATTCCAAATGACTCTAGGACCTGAGCTCCCAACTGCAGGGTGCTTTCCTCCCTCCCCTGGAAGCCTCCCTTCTCTAGTTATTTTCAACAGGACATTTATCACTTTAAATTCCATTGACTGAAACTCAATGACCTGCGGCAAACATTATTCTAAGGAACAATATTTGCACAATTTTCATATCTTAATGCGGCAACTTGAACTTCCATAGAGATTTAAATCCCTAATGAAATTTCCTTGTCAAAATTCTTGCTGAAGGATTGTTTAATTTGCTGCTCATGATATCTTCAGAATGACTCTAGGCTCGGGAAATAAGCTTCCAGTCAGTACGCTCCCCTCCATGTTTCTTCTTCTGTCTCCTCTCTTCTCTCCATTCCTTCTTCCTTCCTTTTTCTCTCTCTCCCTGTCTGTCCAATGCATACTTTTGCTGAGTGAAATCTCCATTATCAGGGGGTGAGAATCCCTGCTCTTTTCTTCCCTCTCAGGCAATGCAAAGTTGTTCAGAAATGTGTACCTTTTACACTAAATTTTAAAAACATAAAATAATTTTTTTTTTTTGAGACAGAGTTTCACTCTTGTTACCCAGGCTGGAGTGCAATGGCGCAATCTCGGCTCACCGCAACCTCTGCCTCCTGGGTTCAGGCAATTCTCCTGCCTTTAGCCTCCTGAGTAGCTGGGATTACAGGCACGCGCCACCATGCCCAGCTAATTTTTTGTACTTTTAGTAGAGACAGTTTTCACCATGTTGACCAGGATGGTCTCAGTCTCTTGACCTCATGATCCACCTGCCTTGGCCTCCCACAGTGCTGGGATTACAGGCGTGAGCCACCGCGCCAAGCCATAAAATAAAATCTTAAATGACCTGTATTTAGGAAAATGATGCAAAGATGTCACTGTGAGAGCCTTAAGGGCTTAAATGACTACTTCAAAAACTTATCCCCTCCGCTTTCTTTTCAATTCCAAGAACCTAGAGCTAACTCCATTCAGGAACACATTTACATATGAGGATCAATCTTATAAAGTACTTCAGTGACAGTTTTTGTAGAAACATCTAATGCACCAATCTGTCAGATTGATCAAACCCTCCTATGGATTCAATGTACCTCAAGTTGCATTCACATCATGAGGCTGAATAGCAAGCAGGGGTTCCGAAGGAACGTAATGAGTGACTCAGACTTTGGTCAGAGTCAAGAGGAAGTGACCTTCTGTGGAGCAGCCAGCATCAGCTAATGTAGCATTTTTGAAGGACATATTTCTGCCCCCTGCCTCCTATGCTGCCAGTGCACCCAGGGATGGCAGCAGTAAGCTTCCCAGAAGCTGACTTGTAGACTCCTGCCCTGGTTTTCCTTCCTTACTACCCATTCGCACCCAGTGCAGTTACCATCCCAGCCTTGAAGCAGAGTTAGATGTTGGTCAGAACTATGAGCCAGCCAAGGATTTTCTCTGTCTCCTCTCCCATGAGCACGTGCCAAGCTGAGTTCCTATCAAGATCCTGACATAATCACTGGATGGAAGCGTGGGGGCTGCTGCAGAGAACAGACTCAGAACAGAGTCGAAGAATGGGGTCAGGCAGAGAAAACGCGCATTGGATGCAAGGGCGCGCCTCCTCACACAGCTGGAGGTAGCCGTTTCTACACCGCCCTGTGCCTTTCTCTCCCTGTCAGAA